AGATTGTCCAGGCCTTGGGTGCGACCGAGTTGTGGTTGGAGTCCATCAGGACCCACAAGAAGACCCACATAGTTCACATAGTTAATTTTAGGTAGTCAGGTCAGGGATAGGATGTCTTGGGCTAATAGAAGTTAAATTCAAGATTTAGGACGGTTAGTTGTTGTGCGTTTTCTACACTTTTCAAAAACATTATAACAGGCTCCTCCTCCTTGTTCTCATCTTGTCAATCATTGATGCGAGGGGGTACTCTGATACGTCAAACTGGACGCAGAGGGAACCTTGGACAAGCGAGTTGGGAATGACCTGTGAATATATAAACATGCCACTGTTCCCTTTTAAATTCCATTAAAGTCCAAGTTGTAAGGTCAAACATAAGTCCAGACAGATTTAAAGATTGATTTTACTTAGACCAAATGTTGCATCAGGTATTTCAGTAAATTAATAAACCCTAAAAACACCCTGCTTTAGAACTGTTTTATCTTTTTTTTAATTCAGAGTTCATATGATCATGTTGCTGAGAAGTATCAAGAGTTTTTGTTTCTTCTGAAAGTTGTATGAGTTATAGTAACTGAAAACACTAGTGCATTGTTTAATAACCTAAATGTAGCCCTTTGCTCAAAATTATTTCAAACTTTGCTTTCAATTGTTTTTTTTTTTTTCTTTTTCTTCTCAGGTGAGTCGTTGCCATTAGCAACCTCCAACCAAATCCTGATCCGCTTTACTGCCAAAGGCCAGTCCAGCTCTAGAGGATTCCATCTGGTCTACCAGGGTGAGTCTGCAACATCTCCACACAAACAAAATGCTCTGTATTTTTTTTCCTTCAGTTCATCTCCTCAACCACCTCCAGTTTTATATTGGAAGATGTTTGTTTGATTCAGCAGCAACCATTGTCTTAGCTATTTGTTGGTTAAAATGTTGCACTGAAGAACATTTATTTTGTTTTATATTATTAGTTTCCTTAGCCAAAGCAATGTTACAGTAGTGACATTTACCACAGATATCTAAAGGCAGTCCCAGCTCTCAGGAGCATCTTATTCTCAGTAAAGTGAAGGTCTCTCATTGCAAACTGAAGCTGCTTTTAGTTATCTATTTGGATGATTTTAATATATACGTATATACAGTATATTATTTTCTTCAAACAACTGTCTTGTAGCTAATAAAAATAACTACATGATAAAAAAGGGTTCAATTTGTGAGAAATAGCAGCTTTAAAATCTAACTGCAGTCAGTTTCAGCTCACTCTAAAAATACTTCCAACATCGAAGGTCATAGCAGAACGAGATTTAATATAAAATGTGCAGTGACTCAAAAATCCAACAATTCCATCCCCACCCACCCCCGCTCATAGCTGTGCCACGGACCAGTGCTACCCAGTGCAGTTCAGTCCCAGAGCCCCGAAATGGCCGCCGCATGGGCAACAACTTTGGTGTGGGCGCAGTGGTCCGCTTCGAGTGCAGCCCAGGTTACGTGCTGGAGGGATCGAGTGCCATCGAGTGTTTAACGGTTCCCAATGCCCTGGCTCAGTGGAACAGCTCTATACCCAGCTGTATAGGTAAGAAAAATATATATACTCAAATTACAGAAGCAGATAAACACATGTAGCTGCAAGCCAGCGTATGTGTTTTTTTTATTACTATTTGTGTTTTTCTTTCCCAAATCTTGATTTAATTTAATTTTATTGACTATTTATTTCCTCACGTTTTTATTTTTCTCTCATCTTTTTCTCTTTATTTGGCTCCTGTTTGATACCCCGAGTGTTGAACTCCTGTTTTTACACAGATGCAGGCAGTGAGCCATCGCCTGTAGCAATGCAGGCAGATCCAGTCATGTGGCAACGCAGGTGGCAGACTTTGCTCGGGGTCACGAAAGACACACAGACATGCGCTCACACATATGGTGATATCAACATGTGCAATATTTACAAAGACACATGATCCTCATTCACAGGGTACGAAGGAAAGCAGCTGCTGGCAGCAGATGTGACTGACTCAAAAACTGAAGAGACTTTGCTGTGGACTACAAATGATCTTCAGTAGAAATTGTATTTTCTGTCTGGAGTCAGATGGATCGAGCTCACAGCATTTAAATTCCAGCTGGGATTTAATTCTCTCCCACTGTCATGAAAGTATGGAGGACCAAAAGTGGCATAGTTAAAAAAAAATAAAAGCAGAAATAAATAAATGGCCCATAAAAATAAATACATGCACTTAAAATGCACCATTTAGTTTAAAAAAGTAAAAAAAAAATCTACCATGTTTATTGACCATCATTTTTTTCCCCAGCTTAGTTCCAACAAATTATATTTTTAGCTCATTATGCAAATAAGGTGTGTGGCCCTTCTTGGGTCAGCTCCTCTACTATTGGTCAGCAAACAGGAAGGAGCAGGATCCATGTGCCGATCGATCGTGCATGCTTATGTTTCCTTTAAAACAAAGACAAGGAGGAAAAACACTTACCTGTGCCTTTGTTTTAAACAGCTTTAAACTAAACTGAGGAATTGACTTAAACTCTTATTTGAATTTGTTTCCTTTTATTCGGACAGATAAAGTCATTAAGACAGGTTCCGTCATTTACAAGAGAGACCAGTAACACACATTTATCAGTTACACAAAAATCATAAAACATGTTGATACTTGAACTTTTTAAAGAAACATATGCAGCTGTTAAATACATTGTGTCGTGTACATGGAGTCTTTAGGAGTGCAGAAAAGTTGAATTTAGTCTCTCCCGGTGCTCCGTCAATTGTTTGTATCATATTTTTCAATCCATTAATTTTTCTGTATTTTATATGCGGTTTTCTGAATTATTACATCAATTTATTTGGGGTAGAACTGCTAAACTAGTTCATAGACAACCTGTTTACCACTTCTGTGAATTTATGCTTCTGCAGGTTCGTCACATCAGCCAGTCACCTTCAGCACACCCACGATTTGCTGTAACTTAATGTATTTCAAAGATATTAGGATATAATTTGGAGTGGTAGTAGCTGAGAGTCATCCCCAATAATCTATCAACATTATCAGGCTGTGTGTGCTTTTTGTGCTAAACCTTGGCACAGGAGGTGGTGGATAATTTATTTGTTCCTCAACCTACTTTTTACATTTTTTTTAATGTTTTCAATATAATATTCTTCACATATTTAATACTCACTTTTATCTCCATATGCAGTTATGCCATCAGATTAAAGCGACAAAGAAATGGCTACTATGATTTAGCAATCAGCTCTCTACTTTTGTTTCCACAGTACCATGTGGAGCCAATCTGACCCACAGAACAGGCACCATTTTATCTCCAGGCTTCCCTGAGCCTTACCTGAACAGCCTCAACTGTGTGTGGAAGATCACTGTTCCAGAGGGATCAGGAATCCAGGTTTGTTTTTATGTGAAACGTACATCTAATAGATTTTGTCACGTCAATCTTCTTAACAATGGATGGCATTAAAACATTTAAAGGGATCCCCGATTAGTTGTAACATTAGACTTTATTTGATAAACATTTATTTTAACTGTAAAATAAAGACTGTAAAAATACTG